CATTGTGGGGCCTCCATGATTCTTTCAGCAAAACATCATCTTCCATCTTCATGTTACTCTCTGTCGCTCTCGCCAAGGGGCACCTGCATGCTGTTACTTTGCAATTCTTGCAAGGATCACTGAAAAGGAATGGAGCCAAGGCCTTGCAAACAACTTGCAATAGTTCCCCCTTCTACCCGACAAACTTTAGAATATCATATAACATAAAGAAGATCGGTTCACCAGTGTGGAAATTAACACGTTCGACAGGAATCCATAATTGTGGCATTTGTCCAGTAGAACAGGTCAATACACTCCGCGCCTGGGCAAGGAGATACTTGTTGGTCGGCTCACGGTACCACGGCGCGTGGGGGAGAGATTCTTGACCTATTGATTTTAAAATGAGGGCTGTCCATTTGACATTTAGTGCGAAGGACAGCCAGAATAGGATCGAGACAATTACATAATCCACCTGGCAGGCTGACATTGCTCTGGAGTATATTCCTGTGATTCTCGGTTCGATTACCTACCGGGACACTGAGTTTTTTTCGTGGTTTTCCTTAGTCTTTCCAGGCATATACCGGAGTATGCCTCGGTTAGGTCACGATCGTGTTCTTCCAGATCTTTTTAATTCATCCATTTGACGCTATATAGTCTAGCTATTGATAGCAATGTTACAGGGAGGTTCTCTCGGTCTTTTAGTTGCTTCTTTAACGATGCTGTCGATATATAAACTATCTAACGTCGATGATAGGATTATTGATGAATGTGTAGCAGTTGGTGGGATGAAAACTGGTAGGGAAACATAAGTGTTTGCCACTTTGTCCACCACAACTCTAGCATATGACCTGACTTTGGATCGAACCCCGGGCCGCCGCTGTGGGAAGCCGGCTACTATCCGCCTAAGCTATGGCGTGTCCGTTAGAGCAGTGATTACAAATTTAGTGATGTGACACCGTACAGTGTGGTACATTCTAATGCGCGTTTTGGTGGAACGTACTGCGTCCCTTTTATACCCTGAAGATGGAGGCAGCAAGCTGCTCGGCAATAATTGATCAGACTAAACGGTGTCATTCTAGAAAACAATCTCGTAAATGGTATTTCTGTAAGTTGTACTCACAAAATATTATTATAGGGATCTGAGGCCGATATGATATTCATAGAAAATTTTAGTTTAGGAAAGCCTGAGAGGAAGACACAATTTGGGTGACCTGGACATAGATGGGAGAATCATATGAATATAAATATTAATGAAATAAGAAGTGCGCTACCTTCTGGGATGTAGCGCCGTGTAGTGCGATAGAAGTGAGCCGACTTTTTGAAAGAGGAAAGTGGTTCATGTTATTATTGAACCCTGAAGATGGAGGCAGCACGTAACTCCGAACCGTCAGTAACCTTCTACTATTCTACACGACGTCGTGTTCCAGACGATACTCTTAATAATTCCTCAAATCTCCGTCTTGTATCGGTGCATCCCGGGAGTGTTCGTGGCTGCACATCCTTGTAGCTATGACACGAACCAAATTCCACAAATGTAGCCGATTCCGCAAGATGTTCGCGTCAATTCCGCCCGTCACAAGGTACAGATTACAACACAAAACATTGTAGACCATATCATCATAAGTCGAATGTCAATTTTCCATACGTGAGATTAGATATTATACATTGAGACACGTGTCAGCTTTTGGCTGCTAGCACCCTCTATTAGTATGAACAGTTATATCCATTAAACTACTGATGTACTTCGGCGGCTGTGGGACCTCATTACGTTATCCTTTTTTATCGACTGTGAAACGTGACCGCATAAAAAGTCGAAATAGTTTCTGACAGCAGATGTCGTAAATCTCTACAGAAGTTTATTTTATTAATTATGCATGTATTTTAACATAGTCTGACGTGTTGCGCAATGGAGGACACCCCCCTCCTTCCCCACCGTTGACGTAGCAGCTCTGGCCACGGTGACAAAGCAGATGAGTCAGCGCTCCGCCCCCCCCCCCGCACTGTGACGTGGCACAGCTTCCCGCTCTGACGTGGAACCGCTTGCTACTGTGACGTGGCACGGGAAATAGGCAACAGCGAACGGAATAAAAGCCGGCTGATCAATAAGCGAGAGTCATTGTGTGATCAGGAGTGACACAGTTGGAGTATAGCAGCAGTCGCGGAGAGAAGAACCGGACTCTTGTGATAATCACTGATAGTTTGTGATAACTGAGAAGGTAATTGGGAGTGTGTAATAGAGTGACACTTGTATAGCTCCCGTACTGTGAATACGTGAAGACTCTTGAGGACAGAGTGAAGAGATTATTGCGAATAGGTTTATAAAGTGTGAAACCCCGCAACAGTGTTATAATTAATTGTAGTTACGACTTGTAGGTTATTAAATAAACCAATTAACAATCTGAACGGCGTCTTCAGTAACCCAACACGTTACACTGGTGTCAGAAGTGGGATAAACACGTTACAATATTTTGAATTTATTTTACGCAAATAATTTGAATAAGTTGGCAAACTATTAATTAAAACAATAAATATATTAATAATATTTGTTAACACAGATTGGAAGCATTTGATATGGCGACGACAGCGCGGACGAATCGTGTTATGCTACTGAAACATTGATCGGATATAGGCACAAGAAGGTAGCATCAGATCACTAAAAAATCACCAATATTTTATGTCTGGGGTCGAATAAACGATGTCGATTTCGATGTGTTAATGTCGTACATCAGTCGGGAACGGCCTCTATGAGCTGATTTGTTTAGTTTCGGGAAGGAAAGCAATGCCTGTTTCTCGGCGTGTGCGTGCGTGTCTACTGTGCCGGATAAACAAGATACAGCGATAAACAGCGTTGCAGGAAAACCCAGTTAGAATTATATAACGGCCGATCCTTCGCAGGTGACCTAACATTCCAAATTTAATCTGTTACTATCGAAAAACTGGGTTAGATTAGCTTTGCCAGCATAGTGACTAAGTTACAGGCTTTTTGAATTACGAAACCACTTAGCATATTTTAATTTATATGACGTTATATTTCCTAACTATACCAGGAACATACATGTGTTAGTATTCAAAAATAAGCGTCGACTGTCTTTTTTTTTCCCATGTAGTGAATCGTATCTGAAATGGTTTGCAAGTCTATTCCGAAGGCCGTCGAGTTCTAGTATGTCCTGCAGTAACGGGTAATCCCCACCTTGAGCGTGTTCTTGTTATGCTTATAGAAATAATGCATTACCACAGTTTATTCTGAGAATAAAATCAACGTAGCCCATGTAATATAAGCGATTATGAAGTACAGTTTTCAGCAAAAGTTAATATTTGAGGAAAAGTATTTAACAATAACTTGTATAATTGGTTTGAAGTTCTCACTCGTTTGCTTTCCTACCATGATATATATATATATACATATACAGTGTCCGTCTTGCAGTGCATCCACTTGTACCTGTCACTTCACAACATGTTTCGGCACCATAGTGCCATCATCAGGTGCTCCATTTACACTAATCTATTGCATTGCATGCCATTATGTCAATGTAAAATTATTTAAAAAGTATTTTAAAATATTCGTCAGTTATAATTAATTTTTTGTATACTAAAATCTTGTTAAGATATTCATCTTATCTGTCCCAATTCAAAACCCGCGCATGGTTCCTCCACTATGGGAGTCGTTCCTCTTATATGCCGTGTGTATCGTGTCTCGTGATGCGTGTTCCCTTTTTGGCTGCGGGTGTTGTGATGTAACGCCCTGTCCCTTCAGTTGCAACGAGTTCTGGAGAACGTCGATAGAGGCGCCACTTGCTTGTTTGCTGTTGGCCATAGGCGCACGCATTTGCGCATACGATACTCTATGTCTGGGCTGTAAAGCATCGAATGGTATAGACCGTCTACTATAGAAACGAGGGGGCGTCATCGTTAGTGACGTAGACCGTTACGTCATCATTAGAAAGTCACTAAATTTGAACATACTTACACAGGATGAAGTTACTGACGCAAGATATGAAGTGCCCTGGTTCGTGTGGATGGACTTTAGGATGACCCCATGATTTGGAAGGGATTTGAGAAGGAAGCGTTCGATCATGGTGTATTCAGAGCACTAAATAGGCATTTTCCTTGTGGGGCTGTGGAAAACTGCGAGAAATCTTAAGATCTGATGATGTTCTGGCCGGTAAACTTTACAGTTTGAACCAACATTTCTACCGTTAGTTTTCGCAACAAAGAGTGACGTGAAGATAATGGTCTTATGGGATGTGATCACCTTGTAGTCCTGAAAGATTTACACTGGTGAATTTCTACCGGACGGTACGGCTTCACATCCCAAAGTATAGTATCCTCCGGTCGTGCCATAGCTCAGAGTCGCCGGCTTCCCACCGCGGCGGCCCGGGTTCGAGCCCGGACCAGGTCATGTGGGATTTGTGCTGCACAAAGTGTCCCTGGGCAGGTTTTCTCAAAATACTTCGGTTTCCCTGCTAATTTTCATTCCTCTAATTGCTCCACACTCATCATCTGTCATCCGGGCCTGGTACAATACCCCAGTCTCACCCCCCAATGAGAAAAAAAATAATACCTTAGACTTGTTTTCACGGCGGTGTTTATGAAGAATGCCGTCTTCTGGGATTTGGCTCCCTGTAGATAATTGTTTAAACCGACGTTTCGGAGGAACGTATCGCTTCCATATTCAGGTTCCTCGCTCGCCGATATTTATACCCTGAAGGTGGAGGCGATACGTTCCCCCGAAACGTCGGGTTACACAATATCTACACGGCGGCACATCCCAGAAGACAGCATTCTTCAAACACAGTATCCTTCAAGATTTTTGTACTGCGTTAAGTTATAATGTCTGTTATTAAGGGGCCGACGCCCCTTTTGCACCGCCCTCTAAAATCGCTGGTTCTGTGAGATTCTACTGAGAGTTTCCTATACAACGCAACCGGAAGGCATGTACTTATATGACTGTGACTCCTTTGCCCGAGTGCCCGCTGCACTGTAACACTTCCGCTGCTAACAACCTTTGTTGTGTCTTTCAGGCCATCTCGGAGGCATTCAAAATGGCCACAGATCCAGACCTTGAATGGACCGCAACAATCCTGGACGTGAAGCCACAGGTCATCCTTCACGACCGTCTCATGACGGACGCAGCGCTGGGCACAGCTCCCATCAAGTCGGAACACTCATACAGCCTCACTTCTGATGGCGACTCCATTCCGGACTCGCCGCTCAGTCTCGACAACAAGATGGACGGTAAGGACGATTTTGCTGAGCTCTGGGTGGACTGCGTGCCACAGGCTTAGAACTAATATATAGGTGCCCCAAAAGAAAATGAGGTTCTTAAACGTAATTACTTACAATATTGTTAAGATTCCAATCGCCAACAGGTGGTAACTTTGTGGTTAAACTGGCGTTTGTTTGCATCAGCTGTTGTCAAGTCAAGGGGACGAGATAGGAGGGGCATGTAGCATGCATGTGAGAGGAGGGGATTACATACAGGGTTTTAGTGGAAAAATACAGAAAGATAGAAGACGCTAAGAAAACCTAGGCCTACATGGGTGAAAACAAAAACTCCGTGGCCTGTAGTCCGCAAGCGAACTATGCCGACCGAGCGACCGCCGCTTGTTGGCGAAGTTACTGCAAACTTTAGCGGATAGAGAGTGTCGCGTGGTAAGGGTAACGAATCCCTACGGACGTTAATATCGGTTTTCTAGACCGGAGCCGCTATTTCCTTGAAATAGCTCCTCAATTATCCTCACAGGCTGAGTGGATCCCGTTCCAGACCCACGACTTCTCAGAAAATCTGGTAGCGCTGGTAATTGAACCCGGGACCTTTTGATCTGTAGCCAGGAACTCTGACCAATAGACCACAGAGGCGGTCCCTAAATGGGAAAATAATATTAAAATAGATCTTAGAAAATGGGGTGGCTTGGTATGAACTGGATTCATCTGGCTCATACAGAGAATAGTGTTCCTGTGAATACAGAAATAAACCTTCGGCTTCCGTTGGGAATTTCTTGAGTGGCTGAGCGACTGTCAGCTTCTGAAGATGGGCTCGCCTTTGGATAGTTTAGTTGGTTCTCAGCAGGATACGCACCGGACCGATGTGAAATTGGGGTTCAGTTCCGTGCAGGGGCAAGAGAATTTACCCTTTTCCACAGAGTCCAGACGGTACAGGGATCCACCCAACCCCCTGTGCATTCAATACCTGGGACTCACTCTTTTGTCTGGTGTAATGTGGCCGCAACGTGAAACTAACCACTCACCTCCATCTAGTACCGAGGTTAAGTATGTATGTACAGAACTGGAACTATTACATCAATCTCGTGTTTACCTTGGTTTTCCACTTACAGCCTGTTTTGGCAACCGTGGTAGCCTATTTGGTATTGTATCAAATTTCATCGAAATTCGAGTAATTTCGGAGTTGGAACATCTAGATGGATAAAGAGGGGTCTCTCGCAATTATCCATTCAGTTTATACATTTTATGTAAAGAAGGTACACAAATCGGTCGTTATGGCCTCAGAAAGGAGGGAACTGATACCTTGAAACGTTTCCGTACAAGTGAACAATAAACACAGTAATTAACTGTCACACTTATGTGATATATGAAGCGCAATTAAACATTCGATGGACAGTGGAAGAAGGTTCTAAGAACTGAGAATTGTGAAGCCACTGGAGTCTAGAATTCGTCTCCATATTATAGACATGTTTAAGAATTCAGTTCGTACGTCGAAGAAAACACATTACGCCTCCGCTACAAAGCCCAACCGGTTAATGCTGTTTAGGGAAACAGTCGCTGTTTACTGTGAGAACCATACAGAACACACAGCTACACTGTGTGGGCAGAATATATAGCAATTCAGTCCGTACCTCACAGGAAACACATTATGTCTCCGCTACAGAGCCCAGCCGGTTAATGCTGTTTAGGGAAACAGTCGCTGTTTATTGTGAGAATCACACGGAACACACAGATACACTGCGTGGGCAGAATATATAGCAATTCAATTGTTACCTCACAGGAAACACATTACGTCTCCGCTACAGAGCCAACCGGTTAATGCTGTTTAGGGAAACAGTCGCTGTTTACTGTGAGAACCATACAGAACACACAGCTACACTGTGTGGGCAGAATATATAGCAATTCAGTCCGTACCTCACAGGAAACACATTATGTCTCCGCTACAGAGCCCAGCCGGTTAATGCTGTTTAGGGAAACAGTCGCTGTTTATTGTGAGAATCACACGGAACACACAGATACACTGTGTGGGCAGAATACATAATAATTCAATTCTTACCTCACAGGAAACACATTACGTCTCCGCTACAGAGCCCAACCGGTTAATGCTGTTTAGGGAAACAGCCGCTGTTTATTGTGAGAACCATACGGAACACACACATACACTGTGTGGATAGGATGTAGATTCTTTCTAAATGATAAAGGAGGTGGTTCGTATTATTACCACAGTATTTTAGACAGGCAAACAAACGTTTTAAGTTGGACATCGCTGTATTCTGGAATTAGACATCGTTTGGCCTTATATATCGTAACCAAAGTAGGAGCAGTCTTCCCAGAACTTATGAAGGTCTCTCTGTGCCTATTCAGTGAAATATTCAGGGCTGTAATGTGTAAGGGACAGTAAGTGGTAGGATGGTCTGTGGAAACCCTAGCCACAGATATGAACTGCAGATTTTCCATTTGATTTTTAAACCGCCATTTTATTAGGGAACCGGGATAGCTCAGTCGGTATAGCGAATGACTGTGGACTGGACGACCGAGGGGTCGGGGTTCAATTTCTGGCAGGGGCAAGAGAGTTTTTTTATCCATATCCTGCAGGGGAACCGTCAGTATAACGACTGGCTACGGGCTGGACGACCGAGGGGTCGGAATTCGAGTCCTTGTAGAGTCAAGAATTTTCTCCACTTTATCCAGACCGGCTCTGGGGCCTACACAACCTCCAATGGGCACCAGGTGCTCTTTGCCCGGGGATAAAGCGGCCGGCGCGTGAAGCTGACCTCTACAGAGTGCCGAGGTTAAGATTGGGGTGGATGTGTATTTCCACTCCCCCATACGTCTTCACGGCGTGGTGATTAATTAAGCAGAGGAACAACTTTACCGTTGTATTAGTTTCAATAGAGCCATGTTTCCATCTGTGATAAGGAAAAACTAGTGTAAACGCACACGCGTGTGCATTCAGCCGGATCCATAACTGGTGTGTGGTATATGTACCGTGCTATGAATAGTGTGCGAAGTGTTCTGATGCTTTGTTTTGCTAAGTGTATTATGTTCGTACAAGTGTACATCGCACCTGCAGTTTACTGGGTTACGTCAACGTTTGCAGGAAACAGAGGGGAGGTATTGTAACAAGTGGTAAATTCTTGTCATCAGAGGTTGTTTCTCGGTGGATTTGTATGTCAAATTTGTTTGTTTGATAGAGGGTAAAGCAATAGGAAGTGGACGTTGCTGTTAGCAGAGGAAAGAGTTGAGATGTTTATGCTGGCAAGACTGCATTCGAATTGATTTTTCTTTTGTCTAGCATTACGAAAGAACGAATTTACTCTAATTAACGCTTAAAATTCGTACCTCACTGGAAATACACCTCTTCTCCTTTGCAGGTTGTAAGCGGTCAGTGCGGTTTCAGGAAATAATGTCTGTCGTTATTCTGAGAATCACGCTTAACGCGTAAACTGTGTAGGCAATATTGGGAATCATTTTATAGAAAGCGGTGCGTATAGTGATCACTCCTCATTAAAGGGTTTTAAAGCTTAAAGTTTACAATCCTCATCACATGCATTAACATTTAATGTAATTGAATTTTAGCCACAGAGTGTTTTTAATTGTTTAGTGTGATTCTGCGAATAAATGGCGATTATTTTCCTATATAGTTCAGTCAGTGTCTAAGCTGCGGGCTGGCCGACGGATGAATTGAGGTTAGATTCGAAGCGGGGAGGAGATATTTCTCTTTTCTGAACCGCCTGCGGACCGGTTCTGGGACCCGTCCAGTCTCCTATCCAATGGATACCGGGGGCTCTTCCCCGGGGGGTAAATCGGTTAGGGCGTGTAGCTTATTGCTGACCTCCATCTAGTATCGAGATTAAGAATGCTGGGAGGTATACATTAACCCTCCATACGTCTTCACTCTGTGATGCTTAATTAAGTACACGGATAACTTTACGTTTGTATAGCTACACAAGAAGTGAGAACATAGATACTGAGTTTCAGTGGAAAATAAAATTACTGATAGATTTTTCTCTTCGATTTTTGTGCCGTGTGAGTGTGGACAGTGTTTCCGACGCTTGGAGGTACATACTGCTTCCGTCTTCAGGGACGATGTGACTAGGGTGAGTGAGTGTTCATGTATATGCAGGTATTTGTCGAGCAGACCTATGGAGGAAGGGTAGGGACTGGTTCCAGATCCAGGTCTATAGAGAAGTCCCCGGATTGGGCACAAGCCTCTGTTCTTCCCCCATGGGTCTGTTGGACCGAAATCTATCTGTACACGGACACTCGACCGCCCTTCCCATTTCGACCCTGAAGATGGATGCAGCATGTACTTTCGAAATGTCGGCAACACTTCTCACATACACACGATACAGTGTCCCAAGGGCAGAGGCAACACGAACAGAAAACTACCGTTAAATCGTAAGACGTGTAGTTAAATTTGTTGATCAAACTGAGATGTTCATGCCTTCTAAACTTGACATAAACCATTCTTGCCCTAAGCCATTGTTGATATTTTCCGAACAGTGGAAGAAAACACCTGTCAGAACTGCGGCATGAAGCTGGAGCTCGTACATGGAGCAGCGTTGCAATGTTACGTGGTCACTGGGGCTAAGCGGACGCCGTACTAACTGGACACTATCAAGTCAATCACTGTTCATTGTACAAATAAAACAGTTAGCTCTTTTATATTCGGGTTCGCTCTACGGTTTACTGGCCTCCAGCGAAAAGAAGGCAAGGAAAATGACGAATAGCCCTGGGTGACATTGATCATTTATGTTACTGTTCATTTAGTGATACTGAGTTTTGGAGTAATACCTTCTGATAATGGTAACATTTCCCGGAAATCGTACTGATGTTTTCAGTTTGCACAGTACGTGCGGGCGGGATTGATTGCCTCGCCTTCTCGTCTTTGGAGGATATTACTTTCTCCATCTATCCTTCAGACAGCGTGTTTGAACCCCTTTTGGTGGACATAACCCGTATTTTCAGGAAGCATTTTCACATACCTCTTTATCTCAGAGTGAAATTTC